GTATAGACCTGTATTTTGCATGTTTCAATTTAAGTTTAACTTATCTAGTAAAAAAATGGCATCATTTTGAAAAAAAAGTGGTCAAAGTTACCCCAGTTTACGGTATTTTAAATGATATGTTATGCTAACCTCTAGGAAAATAAACTTTCTTCTTTCTGTACCTCCATTATTCTTTTATTTTACCTCAAAACTGCTCAATCGGTTTTTCCCCACCCTGTATATTGAGAGGTTGAGACTGTATTGACCTTTTAGGCAATTAGAAAGATTTTCCACCCTAATACGAGTATTTAATATTTAATTTCAATCTTTAAATATGTGAATTTAAATCTAGAAACAAAACAATTACAATTAGAATAGAATAGAAGTGTCGGCACTGAAGAAATAGGCCCATGGCCTGTTGCCGATTCTTGAACTTTTCGTGACTTGATTCACGAGGGATCCAGCCTACCATTATTGAAGGCATTAAGTGCCCTTTTTAGCCATCCATTATGATCCATATACTGTTATTGTTAGTAGGCTAATTTCAACATAAAAAATAACACTTCAAAAAAAACAAAATAGTTGAAAAATCAAAAAAATCAAATAAATAAATAAAAAATCATGAAAAATCAAAAAAATCATTGATTTTTGATTTAAAAAAAATCACCAACCCTGGACTGAAGGGAGGAAGTGGCACTAAGGCATGTGCTTCATGGAATACGGGTGGCTATCAGTGACACCACCCAATCAGTGACAATAGGGTGGCTGGGATGGTGTGGTTGTAGTGAACAATGTGGGGGCAAGGTACTATGAAGAGAGAGGCAGAGTCAGAGGAGAGAAAGGTATTTGGCCACAGGTAAGCCCTCAGCTTTGCTGTGCAGGTAGGGAGCAGAGGCCATTTAAAGAGACCCCCTTGCTATGCGATAGCAAAATTCTGTATGGTTTGCAGCTTAGAGATTAACAAAGGAGAGGCCTAAGGGAACCACAGTGGGGCAGCTTAGGTAATGAGAGACAATGAGGGCCTTGAAAGTAACAATGAGGGTCTCCTTCTGCTGTCCCCAGCTGGTTCCGGCAAGAGATTTAAGGATGTTGAGCTGTGGGCCAGCTCTCTGACATATTGCAACAATGTGGGGAGAGAAGATGAAGTGGGGGTCAAAGGTGACCCCAAGGAAGGGGTCACCTTGGAGATTTGAAGGTCAGACCTCTCCCAGCTGACATGAGGGTCTGTTTGTGATTGATGGGTGTCAGAGATGAAGAGGGTGGTGTGGGATTTGGGGATAGATACAGACAAAGCCTTCCAATGAGCCCGTGCCAAAAATTGGATGAGTAGGAAGAGAGGACAGCAGCCGCATCAACAATCCGCACAGCCCCTGCAGCAGCATAGGAGGACTAAAGGGATGGACTGGGGGAAGTCTGAGACATACCATCCAATGGGGTAATAAGGGACAGTCCTACAATATTTCATAGAAATGTTGTAGCAGCTAAACTAATTAAAATTATGCAAAACAAAAATTATAGCATAAAGTTGAACATTTTTCTTATCTATGTAGCATAAACATAAAGCAAGTTAAGAAATCATACATTTACTAACTCTAAAAAATCCTTGGAAAAAGTGTGATAATTGAGATTTTGGAAAGGTACCTCTGCTAAGGTCTGTAGCAAAAAAATATATTCACCGTATTAAAAAATTTTACTTACATAGAAGTTGCACACTGGTGTTGGCATAATTGGCAATTTATACCTTTATTGTACCTGAATAAAGGACTGTAGCAAAAAAATATATTCACCGTATTAAAAAATTTTACTTACATAGAAGTTGCACACAGGTGTTGGCATAATTGGCAATTTATACCTTTATTGTACCTGAATAAAGGACTTCTCAGAGTATGTTCTTTAAATTGAGTGGAACATTTTGATGGGATCATACTAGTTACGTACCAGCATCATCATACATTTA